TACTGTTTACCGAAAACGGAATGAGGCCTACAAAGAACAAAACACAGTACCTACGGTAAAATATGGTGGAGGTTCAATGATGTTTTGGGGTTGTTTTGCTGCTCTGGCACTGGGTGCCTTGACTGTGTGCAAGGCATCATGAAATCTGAGGATTACCAAAGGATTTTGGGTCGCACTGTAGGGCCCAGTGTCAGAAAGCTGGGTTTGCGTCCAAGATCCTGGGTCTTCCAGCAGGACAATGACCCCAAACATACGTCAAAAAGCACTCAGAAATGGATGGCAAAGAAGCGCTGGAGAGTTCTGAAGTGGCCAGCAATGAGCCCAGATCTAAATCCCATTGAACACCTGTGGAGAGATCTTAAAATTGCTGTTGGGAAAAGGTGTCCTTCCAATAAGAGAGACCTGGAGCTGTTTGCAAAGGAAGAGTGGTCCAAAATTCCGGGTGAGAGGTGTCAGAAGCTTATTGATGGTTATAGGAAGCGACTGATTTCAGTTATGTTTTCCAAAGGGTGTGCAACCAAATATTAAGTTAAGGGTGCCAATACTTTTGTCCAGCCCATTTTTGGGGTTTTGTGTGACATTATGTCATATTTGCTTTTCTGCCTCTGTTTTATATTTGTTCCAATACATACAAAGGGAATAAACATGTGTTATAGCAAAACATGTGTTAATGCAATACCTTTTTTGTGTGAAATACTTGATTTTCAGGAAAAAAATATCAAGGGTGCCAACAATTTCGGCCATGACTGTATCTGAATATTGATCAATCCTGAAGCTAATCTAATTTCTTGAGGTCCAAGAATGTCAGAACAGTACAGATATCCCCCAAATGACCCCTTTTTGCAGAGTAGACAGTCCGACGTACTTCATAAGAGGCATGGCGAGTTTTTTGAAGTTGTATTTTTTTTGGCATAATTTTTCGGAAAATAAAAAAATGTAAAAAATTATTTTCACTATTCTTTTTTTTACATACTGTCACCAGTGTAGTACAGCGTCATCATATAACTGGCATGGCGGTGAACAGGGACACTGACTGGTGACAGTATGAAAAAAAAAAAAAATATATATATATATTTTTTTTTTTTATTATTTTTAATTTTTTATTACATTTTTTTTATTTTTTTTTTAAGATTTTTTTTTTCATATTTTACTATGACCAAAGTAGTACAATGTTACCATAGTAACATTGTACTACTTTGGGGAAGTGATCAGTATTTTGTTTTTTTTTTACACAATTTGCTTATAGCAAAGAATTACTTTGCTATAAGCAAGCATTTACCAGAATGAAATCGATTCATTCAGGTTTTTTTTTTTTTTTGTGCTTAGCTGTGATTTGGTCACAGCTAATCACATGACATGTGCATGTGATTAGCTGTGACCATTTACAGCTAGGCACTAGTATACAATGGATGGCATGAATGAAGCCATCCATTGTATACAACTGTAATGTGACCTGCTGTGATTGGTCACAGCAGGTCACATGGTACGAGCAACGGGGGCCGGTACTCAGATCTGTCATTGGCCGTGTCCAAGGTACACGGCCGGTGACAGATCGCGCCGCTGCGTGGCTCTGCATTAGCGCAAACTGCGCATGTGCGGGAGCACGCCAAATGGCGTGCACCCGGAGTGCCGAAGCACTTTTGAAGCCACCAAACGGCCATTGGCAGGGCGGCTAATGGTTAAACACCCAAAAAAGTAATATATTGCAGTTTACCAATCCTTAAAGTGGTTGTAAGCCTCAGACATGAAATATGAGCAAATCATGTCCCTCTATAGTGTATATTTGTCTCAAGAGCACTAAGTGTCACTTCTGTCTGCTGCTTTTTTTCTCTGTTATCATCATGAATCACTTCTGACAAGTTTTCCTGACACCAAGAGAAAATGGTGACAGGGGAGGGAGCTCCAGTCAATTAACAGCCTCAGCTCTGTAACTGTGAGCTTCATGAAGGGGGGTGTGTCCTTTCCCTCCAATCAGCTCTCAGAGCTCTCTTCACTGAGCTCGGCAGAGTGTAATTTCAGCTCTCCACTCCCTTTTTACTGAATACTTTAGGACTTGGAATAGATGTAGAAGAGAGACTGCAGATAATCAGGTACAACCTATGAAGGAGGCCAGTCACTTCAGTGGGTGTAAGTATGGGTTTACAACCACTTTAATGGGTAACTCCACTTTCGTGGGAAAAAAAAGCAAATGAAAAAAAAATAGAACAGCACATATAAGTTTGACACAAGTCATATTGTAATTGAACGTTATTAAAAATGATGTTTCCTTCTCGATCTGCAACATTGTAATTTTCTGTAAAATGAAATACAATATGGCAACCTGGAGGCATTCTGTACACATGGTGTACAGAATTGCCCCCCCCCCCCCCCCCAGAAATGTCATCTGCTTGTGTGATTGGCTCATTGATTTTCCCAGAATTCTGCACTAAGATACAAGTCAGATTGTGAGCATCCCTTCAACAAAAATGTAATTTTCTGTGAGATACTCCCAAAGGGAAATCACATCTGAAGGTATGCAGACCCTGCCACTTTCCTCATTAAAGCCCTGCAAATGCAGAAGCTGATTGATAATTATAAAGTTATTCCATACAGATTCACTCGGCAAAAAAACAGCAATTTCTTCAGAAAAACAAGAGGTAGAAATCTGCTACAAAGTTTTGTTAAGATCTCTGCAATGTACATAGATTACCTTGAGGAGAATGTTTTCAGATTCAAAATACTTTATTAATCCCAAAGGGAAATGACTAAATCTGAATTTTTTTTCTCAAAAAAGTGGCGTTACTCTTTAAATTCATATATCTATATTGTACCGCGCTCCAAAATTAATAAATCTAAGTGCTCTAAATAAATAAATAAATATTGTATATAACTAAAAATTCAATAATAATCTATATCCATAATACTTAAATTCATAATTGCATAATACTTGAATCCATAATTGAAGTGAATCAAAAAAATTTCATTAATATTTGTAAATCAATGCAAAAAAACTGCGTGCCTGAAAAACTATTCAAAAGTGAAAAAATATATAATGATATATAATGAAAATATAAAAAATAGTTTAGCTTTTCTCAATTAGGACTTTCTCCTCTATCTGCTTGGCTTATTCCTCCATGAACGATACATACATAGAAAAGGGAAAAAGAAACATATGGGGAGGGGCGGTGATGTCATCACGCATCCACAGAGGAAACGGCGAGTATAGCGAGTGAACACACACACACCTGCAGGGCTGTTTGCAGGAGGACCTGGATTTATTTACACAAAAGCGTTACTTTTGCTGATACCATGTGAGTGGGAGATCAGAAGCTCATTAAACATTTTTACTCAGGATAAGACACTATGTTTCTTTTTCCCTTTTCTATGTATGTATCGTTCATGGAGGAATAAGCCAAGCAGATAGAGGAGAAAGTCATAATTGAGAAAAGCTGAATTGAGGAGAAAGGAGAGGAGGAAGGAGAGAGAGGTTCATGTCATGAACATAGACTTACCACGCCAATCAGATTGATTCACATTACCATCTCAATTCGTATGAACTGAACTATTTTTTATATTTTCATTATATATCATTATATATTTTTTCACTTTTGAATAGTTTTTCAGGCACGCAGTTTTTTTGCATTGATTTACAAATATTAATGAAATTTTTTTGATTCACTTCAATTATGGATTCAAGTATTATGCAATTATGAATTTAAGTATTATGGATATAGATTATTATTGAATTTTTAGTTATATACAATATTTATTTATTTATTTATTTAGAGCACTTAGATTTATTAATTTTGGAGCGCGGTACAATATAGATATATGAAATTAACATCCATACACCTGGAGAGGGTGTAAAAAGTACCTGGCGATCTAAATACTTAATTATTTAATCAAGCACGTCAATTGATTTATTAGTCGTTCACTTTATTCATAAATTCAATATTATTAGTATTTTTATACACTGAATTTATTGCTTTATAAGTAAGAAAACTTCTAGTGGCTCACAAGTATTTCATTAATTTGCATTTTTGTTACTCTTTAAATATGGCGGCTGTATTTTTATTTTTTGTTTTTAACCTTTTTACCTTTATTTTCAGTTGCTGAACCAGAGAGTAACATGCTTCCTATCTTAAGGTGTCTCCACCCTGGAGGAGCAACAGAAACACCTTTGGACAGCAGCATTTTCATTCTGGGAGGAGGGTGGTGTTAGATGGACTTGACTAACAAATTAAAGCTGAACTCCATGTTTTAAGCAGTTGCAGTAATAGTTTTGTTTCCCCTTTCGAGATAAAGGTTTTACATAAATGACTAAAAGTTGACCATTGTAAGCACGCTCGTCAGTGGTAAATGATTTGTCACATCCCTCTAACTGCCACTTTGTCTGGACAGCTTGGACAGAAATTTCAAAAATAATAGACTCACTAACCAGATGAACATTTGAAAATAACGGAAAAAAAGCCTAAAAAGGCTGGGCAACAAATAGTAAGAGATAATACAAGAGATGGTTGACATAATAAAATAGACGGTCTTCAGATATGCTGCAGGAGACTGTCAGAGACTGTGAACATTATATAGGAGTTGTTGGAGACTGGTTCAAGAGATAGTCATAGGAGACACATTACATGAGGCTTCTAGAAATCACTATTATAACGGGGCAAAAGGTTGTTGTAGGATGGTGCCTACAGAAGGGTTAACATGTTTTTTCTGTGCTCTTTGGTTATCTGGGTCAAGTCTGCTGCCTTTCCTGTGAAACTGTTGCAATGTTGTGTGGTGGATCTGAGGAAACAGTTTTTTCCTGCCAAATTTCTACAGATCCACATAAATAGGGGCCCTTCACTGTCCCAAGAGAGCTGTGGGAAATACTGTCCAAATATAGGCTGTTATTCTGCTGGAGTGTGTCCCCAGCTGGGGAAGGAGGGCCATTGGGGTTCCCTGAGAGATTGGGAACCTGAGGATTCTTAACTACCAATCCTGAACTTACTGCCTTTAAGGATCCTAAGCCCCGGCCACAAGGGGAACATAGATAAATGGTCATTAACATATCTTTTGTTTCCAAGGGTGGAAGAGGTCTGAGGTGTGAATTGGTCTTTTCAATGTGTGACAAGCTTGGTAGGAACATCCTGTGTTCAGTGTTTTGTCCATTTGAGTGCCTTGAAAACGATTTGCATTCATTTTTCATGATGAAAAAAGGCACTGGACAGAATCTGGAAATGGAAGAGTTAAAAAAAAATTTCCAAACAGGAACATTTATGAACGAGGTTAGCCGTGCGTACACGCATTTTCAAGCATTTGACGTTTGAAACGCTGCTAAAATCTACTGCTGAACACAAGTTTTCTGCATTAAAAAAAACGACTGTAAACTCAACTGCCTGTAAACGACGATGTGTACATGGACACATAGGAAAACATTAGGGTGAGTTTAGGGGCTGCTGAAAAAAACACTGAACAGCTCCTAAATGTGAGTTTATCAGCTGCAGTGTACATGAGCTCTAAGGTGTATGCTGTCCTACTAATGGTTAGCCGACAGCTAGCCAACAAAACTGGCAGAAGCAACATTGTGCTTCATTGCAAAAACTGAATTTACTTCTGTGAACAGTTCTGTAAAACTGCAATACAATCACATACACTGAAATTACAATATGTTTGTAGACATGTCTCTCACAAATGCCTACAATGAATACCTTTCTCACAAAGAGCTACAGTTGCAAGAAAAAGTATGTGAACCCCTTGGGATTACGTGGAGTTTTGCATGAATTGGGCATAACGTGCTCTGAACGTCATCTAAGTCACAACAATAGAAGAACACAGTCTGCTGAACATAATACTACACAAACATTAGATGTTGCCATGGTTTAATTGCACATAACATGTAAACATTCACAGTGCAGGGAGGAAAAAGTATGTGAACCTTTGGACTTAATAACTGGTTGACCCTCCTTTGGCAGCAATAACCTCAACTAAACGTTTCTTGTAGTTGCAGATCAGACCTGCACAACGATCTGGAGTCATTTTGGACCACTCCTCTTCACAAAACTGTTTCAGTGTAGCAATATTCTTGGATTGTCTGGTGTGAATCGCTCTCTTAAGGTCATGCCACAGCATTTCAATCGGGTTGAGGTCAGGACTCTGACTGGGCCACTCCAGAAGGCATATTCTGTGCTGTTGCAGCCATTGTTTTGTTGAATTACTTGTATGCTTTGGGTCATTGTCCTGTTGCATCACCCATCCTCTGCGGAGCTTCAGTTGGCAGACAGTTTTCGTACGTTTTCCTGCAAAATCTCTTGATAAACTCTGGAATTCATCAATGACAACAATCCATCCAGGCCCTGAGACAGCAAAGCAGCTCCATCATGCTCCCTCCGCCATGTTTTACAGTGGGGATGAGGTTTTGATGTTGGTGTGCTGTGCCTTTTTTTCTCCACACATAGTGTTGTGTGTTCTTCCCAAACAACTCAATCTTGGTTTCCTCTGTCCACAGTATTTTTTTGCCAGTAGTGCTGTGGAACATCCAGGTGCTCTTTTGCAAACTTCAAACGTGCTGCAATAATCTTTTTGGACAGCAATGGCTTCCTCCGTGGTGTCCTCCCATGTACTCCATTCTTGTTTAATGTTTTCCTTATTGTAGATGTGTCAACAAAAATGTTAGCATGTGCCAGAGATTTCTGTAGGTCTTTAGCTGACACTCTGGGATTCTTCTTTACCTCATGCAGCATTCTGCGCTGTGCTCTTGCAGTCATTTTTGCAGGACGACCGCACCTAGGGAGAGTAGCAACAGTGCTAAACTTTCTCCATTTGTAGACGGTCTGTCTTACCATGGACACATGAACATCAAGGCTTTTGGAGATACTTTTGTAACCCTTTCCAGCTTCATGCAAGTCAACAATTCTTGATCGTAGGTCTTCTGAGAGCTCTTTTCTGCGAGGCATGGTTCACATCAGACAGTGCTTCTTGAAACCAGTAAACCCAAAACAGGTGTGTGTTTTTTAAGGGCAGGACAGCTGTCAGCAACACATCCAATATCATCACACTGATTGGAGTCAAGGTTGGCTCACTCCTGGCTCCAATTAGCTCTGGGAGAAGTCATTAAGCTAGGGCCTTACATACTTTTTCCTCCCTGCACTGTGAATGTTTACATGTTATGTGCAATTAAACCATGGCAACATCTAATGTTTGTGTAGTATTATGTTCAGCAGACTGTGTTCTTCTATTGTTGTGACTTAGATGACGTTCAGAGCACATTTTACGCCCAATTCATGCAAAAAACTCCACGTATTCCCAAGGGGTTCACATACTTTTTCTTGCAACTGTACCTAAAATCACAATAAATACATTGAAATGCGATCCAGCTGTGTATATGACTTTAACAAACACAATGAAAGAACTTACAGGAAAATGTGTATCAAAAGAAGAATGGGGGAGACCTCACTGGTGTTCTTTTAGAACAGGGGTCTCCAAAATGCAGTCCGAGGGCCAGATGTGGCCCTTGGCTAGCCTTTATCCGGCCCTTGGGGCACTGACACCAACAATGGGGCATTGTTTCTTCCACTGATAACACCTATGGCACGGGTGTCAAACTGGTGGCTCTCCTGTGGCTCTGAGGAACAGCCTAGTCCTCAAAACACGTCAGCCTTTTGGATGTCCAGAGTTCTCACTACAGATAGACACAGTGAGAATTGGACAGGGCTGTTCCTTTATGATGTGCCTTTTAATTATTGATCATTTGTGAGTATAATACTTATTATTTACATTCATTAGACATTTTTAAGGTAATGCACTAGGCCAGTGTGCCTTCTGTTTGTTTTTCTCTATACAGTACTTTGGACTCCCCTGATCCTTTGATGGCAGCAAGGCATGCATATCCTAAGAACTTCCATATGTGGTCTTAATCCATCCCCCAAGTGCAGGAGTAACTGGGTTTTCCACTACTACACAGTTGCCAAACTACATGTCCCATGAGGCATTGCAAGACTGATAGTTACAAGCATGACTCCCAAAGGCAGAGGCATGATGGGACTTGAAGTTTCACAACAGCTGGAGGGCTGCCAGTTTGACATTCCTGACCTATGGGGTACTATTCATACCAATGATGGGGCACTACTCTTCCTCCTACTGACCACCATCGCTGACGCCATGTTTATTCCCACTGATGCTGGGCCCTAAACATTTTCTACCCCCTCTAGCCACACTCAGGCCCTCTTAAAGTCTGAAGGACCCTGTGTTTGAAAAGTTTGGACAACCCATTTCTAGAAGCTGAAATGGCTAAAGTGATTTATGGTAAATCTTTATTCTTAAACATAAAACACTTCCTGATCTTGTTGAAAGGGAATAATAAAAAAACAGGCACAGTTGCAGTGAATGCCCAATAGATGGCTCTCTACTCAACACAATGATACAGAAAAAGATGTTTATGTAGACCTGTGAAAAGTAATCTACAGATTTTTCTAATATTACAGTATTTAAACAACGGTTGGACAACTGTTAAAACAAAAAAAAATGGTAGGTAAAAACAGTAAATAATTATTTTCTTTACAGCACTCTTTCAGAGTTATGGAGGAACATAATGTTCTAGAGGAGGAGGAGATGGTCAATGAACCTCCAAACTCAAGTCAACTGCAAGTTCAAATTGATAACATCTTTATCAAAATCCAAAGCCATATCCCCAATGTGACATTCACTCATTTTAACAAAGCCACCAGTGCGCAAAACAGCAAAGTGTTTTTAGTGAATCCCAGAGAACAATATTGTGTTGGGGAAGACTTTGTGGTACAAGTGGACATGTATGATTACTTGAACAATAGAAAGACCTATGGAGGAGATTTTTTAAGACCTAGGCTCTTTTCCCAAGACCTTGGAGCTTCTGTATCAGGAAAGGTGGAAGACTTGAACAATGGCTCTTACCATATCCACTTTCCATTATACTGGGCAGGCCAAATCAAAGTCTCCATTTTACTTTGGCACCCCAGTGAAGGAATTGCAGCTCTCTGGAGGTCAAGACATGCAAGTTTGGGCGTTCTCGGCTTCCAGGGGAGATATATCTTCCTAGGTCAACAGGCCTTCTCTCTATGTGGTTTTCAACTGAAATCAGATGGAGAGATTTGTGAGTATAAAGATAAACTCTATGAAGAGGTCTTCTACTGCCAAAAACCTCCTAACTTACCCTGTGACTGTTTAAGAGAGATGAGAGCCGTGGACCTCCATTCATCATATTTGAAGTCTGAAGAAGAACCATTGTTTGAAAGGTATAATATATAGCAAACAAGATAAATATCACCTAAAGTATTTGGGGTTTATTCAATATGTTCTCCACATTTTAGGGGGTGGTCTCATTATTGCCCATCTAGTGCACCTGTTGTTAATTTCATTAACACCAAAGCAGCTGAGACTGAAACAACTCCCTCTGCTACTTACCTGACCAGATTAATATCCCAGGAGTTTCATTGACTTGATGCTAGAGTCTGATTAATAAGTGTTCCTCTAATTTTTTGAGCAGTGTATATATAGCCCCAGCACATTGATCTCCCTGTTAGCACAGGGAGATCTTATAGCAGAGCTGGTAAGAGGGAGATCTTTACAAAGAGACAAAAATACACACTCAATTGGCTACTACTTACAGAAATTTATTAGAAAAAGACATAAATAAAAAAAGCATCACGAGTACTTGACCCAAACCCGCCACCCCCTGAACCACCCAGATCCTCCCAAGAAGAAAACCACCCCCAGCCTAAACCACACTTTCCCACTCCCTATTTCCCACCCCCTAGGACAGACCCTACCCGACCCCCTCCCAAAAGGGAACACCCACCAAAACCCCCCAACCCAGGAGGAGCTGAGGGACCCACCCATGTCTAAGTCCCCTTGATGGTACTCTCCCCTGTTAACACATAGGCTCAGCCCAAATAATCTAAAGACCAATCCTGATGGTCCTAAAAAATCTGGCGGTAAAGGTCTCAATTAGACCATAAACTATGAGCACCCATGAATGAAAACCCACTGCAGTTCATATGGGTACCCGCCTAAAACTTATTAAGGATGATAGATAATTTAGCTTGGCTTGCTAGGTTTCATTGGAGTTATGGACTTTTATCATAACTCTATCATAACTTAGATAACTTAGTGCATACAGCACAGTCCTAAAACCTGTGAAGACAATCCAAGAATATATGGTAGACAGTACATTGAAATCGCTGTGTAGCTGTCTGTGGAACCCTAGGGTCTTCCAAACGGTTTCCTTGGACTGTGAATGATTGACTTTCCATTTTCCTGTATAATTCTAGGTCCGACACCACTTGGTGGAGCCAGCAGCATAACCCCTATGATCTTCTTAGCAGTCTTTGAGGGTGCCATTCTGGCCACCGCTGTAAGGGTTGCATTCTTCTTACTGACCACTATTGTAAGGGGAGTTCTTCTGATTGACCTCCAAAGAACAGGTTTAAACAGGGGTTAAGCAAGACGTGTCAATTATTTTAGGGGTTGCTCCGGAGAAAACAGGTTAAGAAAGGCTGTTCTGGAATTTACACTAAGCTAGCTATTCATTGAAAGTAACTTCAACTATTTCTTGTAGGTCCAGAGTGGGTATTGAAATTGCCCAAAACTTCGGACCTGTAAGAGTTACAAACTGTGCTGGTAAGTATATTCAGTATTGGCCTTGTATATTATTAATTTTTGTTAGTCTCAAGTTGCAACACTGTGACATTCTAATTGGCCTTCCATATACTTAAACAATTAAATAAATTGTTGGATGTAACAGAACAATAATTAGTAGAACTTCCTAGAACTATTTTTTTACTCTATAGAAAGATAATATGTCTCATCTGGCATCCTAATTGCCTAACCTAGAATTCTAATTGGCTTTTCATAGACGTAAAATAAATAAATAAAATGGAAGCATGTATAGGGTGTATGTCAACAATAATGAGTGGAAATTCCTACAACTACTGTGTTATTATCCTAAAGAAAGATAATATATATTTCATCTGCGCTGGAACAGGTTGTAATGGCATTTTGACTTGGTTATATATTGGAGCTTCAGGTACATGCTATCTATAAAACGGATAAATTACAAAGGAATAGATACCTTAAGTCAACTATGTTAATGACAAGGTCTTTTTTTATCCAATAAGCCACCTGTAAAAGAAGCTTGAATATACTTAGCCTGACTTTTGAAAAGCTGGTGTATCTCCGCTCCCCAGCTGTGTCAAGTATTCTACACCCCTGGATGTGTAGAACACTTTCCTCCATGAAGTCCTCAGTACAGGGGGTACAAGTTAATGGGAAGATCCACTGCAGCTGGTTGGGAATGGGTGACTCTGTTCAAGTTTGAGTTGCCAAAAGTTCTGCGAAGCTTGTTTGGGGAAAATGCACATAATGGAGAATCCTATTAAAGTCTACGAGGATGAATCTTGTTAAATACTGCCTATTTTTAGGGCTAATAGGCAACGGGAATCTGAGCACTGTCATGATGGAAAAGTACTAATGAAAGCATTTTTTTCCCCTATATACTGTACAGAGGGTCTTTTCATGTGTCTCCAAGGGTAACATTGAAAGTACACAAATCTTTCAACTCTTTCCATGCCAGGTCGGACCTGACAGCAGGATTGTGTGTTATCTGACAAGCTGACTTGTGGGTGTCAAATGCAAGCAGTCCATTGCCTCTGCAGGTGCAGGATTACTTGCCCACTGCCTGGTAATGGCCACCCTCCATCATAATGTATCCTGGGCTCCGTTTGCCCACCGACAGGCCTGGGAATGATATAGCGGGTGCTACCAGGTAAGGGGGGAAAAAACTAAGCGGACACACATCCGCTCTTCTCCCCTTCTTGTTAGTGTACAATATCACTTCCGGGTCCGTTTCCCTGGGCAATATGGTCGGGAAAGAATGCAGTGCAGCACAATCTGCATTGCATTACATTCAGTGGAGCACAGGGGTCCTTTAGACCCTGGATGTCTCATTAACCCCCCTTGGCAGTATTCCCGACTGTAGCTCGGGGTTAACTTTCAGTGCCCGAAGCAGCAACCGCGAGCTACACTCAGGAATACACTGCAGCGTTGCTCTGGGATCCCTCCAGCACTTACCTTGTCCTGCGATCCCGCGATGTCCCCTCTGCACCGTCCCCGGCCATCTCCTCTGGCGGCCGATGCCGGCATCTGTCTCCCGGGTTCCGGTCCCTGCGATTGCGGGACGTACGGGACGTAACCGGCGGGAAATTCAAAAAGTGACATTCACTCAATACACTAAAATCACATAGTATTACATTACTGTATCAAACCATTTCACATACATTTTGTCCCGAGTGCTTTGTCCTGTGCCCTGCCTGCATTTTTACTGTTCTTTCTGCCTGGAAACTGAGAAACGTCCATGGCGTCCAAAAAGTGTCCATTTAGGTCAAAAGTGATTTTAGATCAGCTAGAGAACAGCGATAGTAAATCAGAACCACTTGCAGAATTGAGTGATAATGATTCGTGGGGGAAATTCGTCATCAGACACTGAAAACGATTTTGCGACTTTGCTCAGCGATGTGCGAACTTGGCGCTCTATTTCAAATTTCAGTGTTTTTGGTTTGATTATATTATTGAATTAAATGTATTATTATATTATTTTTTATGATTATTTATTATATTATAATTTATGATTTCGTGTTTCAAATTTTATCTGTTTACTAGACTCTTGTTCGGACATTTCAGTGAGTTATTCCTAAGAATTATAGGCCTACAAATAAAAAAAAACAACATACTTCCATACAAAAAAAGTACCGCTTTGAGTGCAGAAATACTGACATAATCAGACCTCCAGGGAAGTGAAAGAGAGCCTGTCACCAAACAATCATCACATGGGGAACTTTTTGTCCCCTCTGTGCTGAAAAAAATTAAGTAAAAAATAATGTTTTTTAATTGTAAAAAATCAAAGTTACACCCAAACATATAAAATGCCCCCTAAAAAAATGTTTGAAGCACCCCCACATACAGGGGCGGACTGACCATTTGGAAACTCGGGCACTGCCCGAGGGCCTGGGGTCAGTAGGGGGCCCAATGAGATGCCCCTGGTACCTTTTTCATAGGCTTTTTTGAGTTTGGGCAAGGACACAGGGGCCCCATGATCCCCTATTGCTCGGGGGCCCCATAAGTTGTCAGTCCGCCCCTGCCCACATATACATATGTATGAACATAAATGCACGTGACAGGTTGCCTGCTCATGAAAACATTGATTGCGATGCACATGTAACATATTGCCGGAGTGAAAGCAATAGTTCTAGCACCAGACCTCCTCCGCAACACTAAACTGATGAGCTATAGAGAGTTTTTAAAGTGTTGCCTAATATATGGTACTGGAGTTTGATTAGTGTATTTTGTGCTGAAATTTTGTGTTTCCTGGACCTTTTAGGTAATATGATGTGACATAAAAAAAATGGAACTACCACTATTTTATTCTCTAGGGTGTCTGCTTTCAAAAAATTTATATAATATTTGGGGGTTTGGTGTAATCTTCAGGCCTAAAATGATTTTTTAAACGAGCAAAAAATGCAAAAATGGCTCTGGTAGCGAAAGGGCTAAACAACATTCTTGGGTGATGCCTTAACCTCTTGCTGTCCGCCTGCTGTTTATAAACGGCAGGGCGGTGGCAGTCCAGGGGCGGGTTGCCGTTCCTAAACGGCACCCGCCTTTTCTAGCTGTGCGCGCTCCCTGGGAGCGCGCACCACCGCGATCCGGTGCCCGCTGTGTCCTCCGGACACAGTGAAACACCGATCGTCGGACGGGACCTCTGTACGAGGTCCCGATCATGTGATCACTGATTGACCAATCAGTGATCACATGCAAAGTAGTAAGCAAGATGTCACTTGTGACATCATTGCTTACTACGTGTGAAATCTGTGAATGATCACAGAGGTCACATGGTACAAGGCTATTTACAACAGCCTTGTACCATGTGACAAGCTGTGACCAATCACAGCTCACTCAGTATTTCTCAATGACTGCAAGAATGCAGACAGAGAGAAAGAGAAATGATTGCTTTTACATCCTATATGGGTGTAAAAGCAATCAGTGTAAAAAAAAAAAAAAAAAAAAAAAAATCTTCATTACCCCCAAGTAGTACAGTGTCACCATGGTGACACTGTACTGCTAGGGTGACAGTATGTAAAAAAAAAAAAATAATATAAAAATAATAAAATAAAAATGTAAAAAAAAATCTTTAAAAATTATAATTTTTGGTTATAAACTAATTTGGATTTTTTTTTTTTTTACTAAAAAAATAACGGAATAAATTTTGGCCAAGATTTATGATGAAATATTATTTATTTGCAAAATTTTATTTAAAAAAAAACACTTTTTTTCAAAATTTTTGGACTTTTTCATTTACATAGTAAAAAAAATAAAAATCCCAGCGGTGAATAAATACCACCAAAATAAAGCTTTATCTGTCTCAAAAAAATGGTAAAAAATTCATATGGGTACAGTGTTGCATGACCGCGCAATTGTTATTCAAAGTGTGATAGCGCTGAAAGCTGAAAATTGCGCTGGTCAGGAAGGGGGTAAAAGTGTCCGGACAGGTAGTGGTTAAAGCTGTATATGATGCTATGGAACATTACGATGTTCACGAATACTCTCAGCAACAGCATATATTGGCCCTGCATATTTGGCTGTGGAATTGATTTTACAATTAGTTTGGCTTACATACAACAGCAGAAACCCAATCTAATTAAATTCAGATTAATGTATTGTCAATTAGCCAATTAATCAATTGTTTATAGCCAAGTAACAAAAGACAGCAAGTCTCTGGCACAAGGCATAGAGTATACAATAAAACAAACCTTCTGTATTAGTCTCCTCTTAAAGTAAATGTTCTGCACAAGGTGCCTCCTCAGTAACATGCCCAACCTAGAGGAGTTTTTGCTAGAAAACAATATAACAGTAAAGTGTAGCACTACCCCCTTAGGAGTTGATGAAGTTTGAGTCCCCTTATAAGTAGTGGATTTGAACTGGGAAAGGATAGGGGGGTGTATGGGATGTCCAATGGAACTGAGAAACCCAAGACAACTTTCTGAAACTATATACAAGGTTTTACACCAAAATCCTCTTCTTGGAGAGCTAGCCAGTGTCTCCTGTAGTACCACCCCAGATCCCAGATGAATCCTCTTCTAATGAAGCTATCTGAAGAAAATCGCTGAGCAGGGGATCCAGTGCCTGCCACATTAGTAAGACAGTCCCAGGTAGTTGCTAATCTGGTTTCACTCCAGAGTGTGCTTTCCCCTATCTGGCCTGGGAGGTGCAGGTCTACTCACTTAGTCTTTCTCCTATGTTGCTGCTAGGTCAGTGACTACTACCAGGCCTTCTATCGGGGCTGCGTCTTCCCTGCTACACAGGTGGTCCTATCTCTGGGGGCCAGTGAAGTCCCAAGCTTTCCTCCTTCCAAGGTCCTCCTGCCTAGAAGTGAGCCCCTCTCCCATCTGGCCCCCCTCCCAGACTCCTGCTCTCCAGCTCCACATCCTCCTCTTCCACCGGAACTCCCCTCCAACTCTCCTGCTGCTCAGTTACTCTTAAAGGCTGTCCTGGCCCCTTGCCAGGCATCCTGTTGGGGCTTGGCCAGGATTCTGTAGGAGTGCAGACCAGCCACTCCTCATCTCCTCCCATTGCTTCTATATCTTCCTCCAAAGTTCTAGAGCAGGGGAAAGTTCCAGAGAGCAGGTCTGCAGAGCCTCTCAGCTCTGACCTGAATTTGACCCTGCTATCTATCTCACTCAGGCTACTACTCAGCCCTTCTAGCTAACAATTTGGACTAGAGCTCCTCCTAGCTACCTTGGTGGGTGCTACATAAGCAATAGAGAGCATGGGGTTATGAAAGACCAAAATTGTCAAACAAATCTACTTTATTTTTATGAAGAGGTGTGCAAAAACTTAGATAAAGGAGTGGATATAATACACCTGGCCTTTGCAAAAGTGTTTGACACAGTTCCCCACACACAGCTAATGGATAGAATAAAGTCAACAGGCTCAGAAAATCTGTCTGTAAATGGATAGAAAACTAGATTATAGACCAGGGGTGGGCAAACTTTTTGACTTGAGGGCCGCAATGGGTTCATATATTGGAAGTATAGTAATATTCCCCCATAGTAAGCATAGTAATTAATCCCCCATATAGTAATTTATCCCCCATAGTAATTCATCCCCCATAGTAATTCATCCCCCATATAGTAATTCATCCCCCATAGTAATTCATCCCCCATAGTAATTAATCCCCCATATAGTAATTCATCCCCCATAGTAATTCATCCCCCATAGTAATTCATCCCCCATATAGTAATTCATCCCCCATAGTAATTCATCCCCCATTGTAATTCATCCCCCATATAGTAATTCATCCCCCATATAGTAATTCATCCCCCCTATAGTAATTCATTCCCCATAGTAATTAATCCCCCATATAGTAATTCATCCCCCATAGTAATTCATCCCCCATAGTAATTCATTCCCCATAGTAATTCATCCCCCATAGTAATTCATTCCCCATAGTAATTCATCCCCCATATTAAGTCCCCAAGTCCCCCCTGTGTCAATTTACTTACCTTTGCTCCGCGCGTTCCTCTCACCGTGTTCCCGCGCCGTTCCGGTCTTCAGGGCAGACTGTGAGAGGAGCCTAGCTCCCCTCACGTTCGTCACGCTGCCCCACCTACACACATCCTGACAGCCATCCTGACAGTATCACGCTCAGCGGGCCGGATTAAAAGGTCTGCCGGGCCATATACGGCCCGCGTGCCGTAGTTTGCCCATTGTTGTTATAGGCTGTATTCAGAGAGTAGAGATTAATGAATCAGACTCTGAATGGTCTAAGGTCATTAGTGGGGTACCTAATGGTTTAGTGTTGGGCCCCTTACTTGTCAACTTATCTATAAAGGATATAGAGTTTGGGAGTAAAAGTACCATTTCTGTGTTTGCAGATTACACCATGATATGCACTGGAATAACGTCCTACAGGATATCTCCACCTTCATGTAAAGCCTTAATGCACTATTAAATTGGGCAACTATGTGACAAGTGAGGTTTAATGTTAAGAAACGTAAAGTGGGGCTCTTGCTCTCTCCCAAGATGGACTATAGGATGTGTAGTGTGCATAGAGCAGTGTAAGTCACCATGTAAACACACTTGCTGGTTATCGGCAGTCCAAAGTACTGTATAAAGTAAATATGTACAGTACAAAGTACTGCCGATAACCGGCAAGTGTGAATAGAGACATATACACTGATAATCAGGGCACTGTCAGTGCAGTCCCAAAAGTGCCCAGCAGTGCTGACAATCTGTGCTAATCAGTCCTGCCAATCAGAGCTGTGTCTATCAGTGCCGCCAGTCAATGCCATCTATCTGTGCCACCAGTCAGTGCTGTCAGTCAGCGCCCTTCATTGCTGCCTATTAATACCCATCAGTGCCGTCTATCAGTGCTCATCATTGTAGTCTATCAGTGCCCATCAGTGCTGCATATCAGTGCCTCCTCATCAATACCCACCAGTGCCACCTTATCAATGCACTCCATCAGTGCTGCCTATCAGTGCAGCCTCATCAACGCACATTAGTTATGGAGAAAAATTACCTGTTTGCAAAATGTTATAAAAGAAACTAAGAAAAACTTTTTTTTTTCATTTTCGGTCTTTTTTTTGTTTGTTTAGCAAAAAATAAAAACACCCAGTAGTGATTAACCAATTCAGTACCGGGCAATTTTTACACCTTCCTGCCCAGGCCAGTTTTCAGGTTTCAGCGCTCTCACACTTTGAATGACAATTGCGCGGTCATACAACATTGTACCCAAACTAAAATTTTATCATTTTCTTCACACAACTAGAGCTTTCTTTTGGTGGTATTTAATCAACGCTGGGGTTTTTATTTTTTTTGCTAAATTAACAAAAAAAACAAAAAATTTTGAAAAAAAAACACATTTTTCTTTGTTTCTGTTATAAAAGTTTGCAAATAAATAATTGTTCTTCATAAATTTAGGCCGAGATGTATTCTGCTACATGTCTTTGGTGAAATAACCCAAATTAGGATGTATTATTTAGTTTGTAGGAAAGTTATAGAGTTCACAAACTATGGTATACTGTAGATCTGAATATTGATCAATCCTGAAGTACTGACGGCCAATCTAATTTCTTGAGGTCCAAGAATGTCAGGACAGTACAGATATCCCCCAAATGTCAGGACAGTACAGATATCCCCCAAATGTCAGGACAGTACAGATATCCCCCAAATGTCAGGACAGGACAGATATCCCCCAAATGTCAGGACAGTACAGATATCCCCCAAATGTCAGGACAGGACAGATATCCCCCAAATATCAGGACAGTACAGATATCCCCCAAATGTTAGGACAGTACAGATATCCCCCAAATGACCCCTTTTTGCAGAGTAGACAGTCCGACGTACTTCATAAGAGGCATGGCGAGTTTTTTTAAGTTGTATTTTTTTGTCATAATTTTTCGGAAAATTAAAAAATAAAAAAAATTAGTTTCACTATTTTTTTTTACATATTGTCACCAGTGCAGTACAGCGTCATCATATAACTGGCATGGCGGTGATCAGGGACACTGACTGGTGACAGTATGAAAAAAAAAATATATATATATATATTTTTTTTTATTTTTTTTTTTTTATAACATTTTTTTTATTTTTTGTAAGATTTTTTTCATATTTCACTATGACCAAAGTAGTACAATGTTACCATAGTAACATTGTACTACTTTGGGGAAGTGATCAGTAATTTTTTTTTTTTTTTTTTGCACAGTTTGCTTATAGCAAAGAATTACTTTGCTATAAGCAAGCATTTACCTGAATGACATCGATTCATTCAGGGTTTGTTTTTGTTTTTTTGTGCTTAGCTGTGATTTGGCCACAGCTAATCACATGACATGTGCATGTGATTAGCTGTGACCATTCACAGCTAGACACTAGTATACAATGGATGGCATGAATGAAGCCATCCATTGTATACAACCGTCATGTGACCTGCTGTGATTGGTCACAGCAGGTCACATGGTACCGGCAACGGGGGCCGATACTCAGATCTGTCATCGGCCGTGTCCGAGGTACACGGCCGGTGACAGATTGCGCCGCTGCACGGCTCTGCAGGAGCGCAATCTGCGCATGTGCGGGAGGACGCCATATGGTGTCCACCCAGGACGCTGATGACATTTGCCATAGGGCGGGTGGCAAATGGTTAAATACCACCAAAAAAGGCTCTATTTATGTGAAAAAAAATGAAAAATTTCATATGGGTGCAGTGTTGCATGACCGCTCAATTGTCATTCAAAGTGCAACAGCGCTGAAAGCTGAAAATTGGCCTGGACAGGAAGGGAGTGAAAGTGCCCGTTAGGCAAGTGGTTAAAAGAGGTGTTGTAGTACGCATGGGCTGCTATGCCTATTGCTACTCCAGTGGATTTGGGTGGATGGACCTTTAAGGTCTTTAAAGTGATTGTAAAGGCTGATGGTTTTTTACCTTCATGCATTCTAGGAATGAAGGTAAAACACCTTCAGTGTGCAACTCCCCCTGCAGCCCCCCAATACTTACCTGAGCCTGATACAATGATAAGCACAAGAGCCAAGGTCTCTCTCTCCTCATTGGTTAAGACCCAGCAGTGGCTTCATTGGCTCCCACTGCTGTCAATCACAACCAGTGAGGAGGGAGTTGGAGGCGGGGCTGAGCCATGCTGTGTGTGTTCCATAAACACACAAAGAGGCGGCTTAGGAGTGAGCACACACGAGTGCCCCCAGAGCAAACAGCTTTTTCTGGGAGCACTCACAGGGAGGAGGGGCCAAAATCTCAGAGAAGAGATGAATCGTGGCTGCTCTGTGTAAAACCAGTGCACAGAGCAGGTAAATACTGTATGATGTGCTTGTTATTGAAAAAAAAAAACCTTTAACAGCATTTTAAGTAAAGAGCAGTTCCTTTTTCTCTTCATGAACACTTTTCTTTCACAGTTAGCTGTCCTTTCTACACAAAACAATTTAAAAAAGATAGGTCCATGAGAGATTTATGGATGCAAAGGACAATTTTTGTGAGGTTGAACTTGCAATCATTTTTACTACTACTGTCTATATTCAATGTTACTATGTAATATTAACTCCCTTTGCAAAAAAAACCATCATTCTTTCAGAAAGGCCTTTAATTCAAAAGCCGAAATGTCAACCAGGAATGAAGTCCACCTTTCCAAGTGGCTACTATTTCAGTAATACTTGGAATCCTGCCTACTGCACCATGACCACCTACAAGACTACAGAGGACTTTGTGAAGTGCCTACAGGGGAAGAAACTTTTCCTGATCGGAGATTCAACATTACGACAGTTCATCATGCACTTCACGGAGGGCATTAGCAGTAAGTGCTTTCAAATGTGCCTGAAGGTAGGCGCTCCCAAATCTAGGGAGATCTTTCAGAGGCAAATACGTATTTTACCCATGAAGTTTGTTCACTTTCCATGTCCAACGATTCCATAGTGAGCGCTAAACTAAAAAGGAAAGCATTGGATCCAAAAGGGAAACCTTCTGACTGGTCAACGAGGCTGCCAATTATGGTGAAGACGTGCATTTCGTCACGATTTGAAATTGTATTTTCAGAGATTCGGATGTATACGAATCTCCGAGTAGACATAGTAACGAATGTAAATACATTTAAAAAAAATGTATACCAAAATTAACAAATGCATTAATTTCATTCGGATGACATCACATGATTTAATAGCAGTTCGGGCCCATGGAGCAATTAATTGTTTTTTAATTTGTTTGATCATTCGGATTCGAGTAAATTTGTGATTTAAATTGAATTTGTGATTGTCACAGTCAGTCTGTTCAGTTCCACAATGAACCAGCAAACACAAATGCTCCTGCGCTTGGGGATGGACTGGATACAGGCTACAACCACATTAAGAATGTCCTGGAACATGCACACCTTGCTGCCCTCAAATGGACCGGGGGAATCCAAATATACTGAATGAGGAAAGAACAAACAGAGGGCGCACAGGCCTAGTGCATTACCATAAAAAATGTTTAATAAGAAATAAAATATGTGTTGTACTCACAAATAGAGATGAGCGAATCGAACCAGGCGAACCGGAATTCGAGTCGAATTTCAGGAAATATTCGATTCGCGTCGAAACCGAAATTTTGCCTACTTCGGGTGCGCGAATCGAAGATTTCCCGATCAGCAGGCAATAATTCCAAGCCGGCAAAAAGTGTAGTGCAGAGTTCCTCTATTCTGCAGATACACTTAGAGGAGCTCTGCAGATACACTTAGAGGAGCTCTGCACATACACTTTTTGCCTGTTTGGAATTAATCTTATTTTAGCCGGCAAAAAGTGTATTGCAGAGTTCCTCTATTCTGCAGATACACTTAGAGGAGCTCTGCAGATACACTTAGAGGAGCTCTGCACATACACTTTTTGCCGGCTTGGAATTAATGTGAATGTCCCAGAACTGTCAGAAATAGACTATTTATGACAGTTCTGGGACATTCACTCCATACAGCTGTTTCAACCGCTGCTGTCATTAATAGTCTATTTCTGACAGTTCTATGACATTCCCTCCATACAGCGGTTGAAACAGCTGTATGGAGTGAATGTCCCAGAACTGTCAGAAATAGACAGAAACTGTCACAGAACTGTCCTTCTTCTCATCCTTCTCCTTCTTCTCATCCTTCTTCTCATCCTTCTTCTCATCCTTCTCCTTCTTCTCATCCTTCTCCTTCTTCTCATCCTTCTCCTTCTTCTCATCCTTCTTCTCATCCTTCTCCTTCTTCTCATCCTTCTCCTTCTTCTCATCCTTCTCCTTCTCCATCTTCTCATCCTTCTCCTTTTCCTTCTTCTCATCCTTCTTCTTCTGCTTCTCCTTCTCCTTCTTCTCATCCTTCTCCTTCTTCTCATCCTTCTCCTTCTTCTCATCCTTCTCCTTCTCCTTCTTCTCATCCTTCTCCTTCTCCTTCTTCTCATCCTTCTCCTTCTCCTTCTTCTCATCCTTCTCCTTCTTCTCATCCTTCTCCTTCTCCTTCTTCTCATCCTTCTCCTTCTTCTCATCCTTCTCCTTCTTCTCATCCTCCTCTCCTTCTTCTCATCCTTCTCCTCATCCTTCTCCTTCTCCTTCTTCTCATCCTTCTCCTTCTTCTCATCCTTCTCCTTCTTCTCATCCTTCTCCTTCTTCTCATCCTTCTCCTTCTCCTTCTTCTCATCCTTCTCCTTCTTCTCATCCTTCTCCTTCTCCTCATCCTTCTCCTTCTTCTCATCCTTCTCCTTCTCTCCTTCTTCTCATCCTTCTCCTTCTCCTTCTTCTCATCCTTCTCCTTCTCCATCTTCTCATCCTTCCTTCTTCTCATCCTTCTCCTTCTCTCCTTCTTCTCCTTCTCCTTCTTCTCATCCTTCTCCTTCTCCTTCTTCTCATCCTTCTCTTCTTCTTCTTCTCATCCTTCTCCTTCTCCTCATCCTTCTCCTTCTCCTTCTCATCCTTCTCCTTCTTCTCATCCTTCTCCTTCTCCTTCTTCTCATCCTTCTCCTTCTTCTCATCCTTCTCCTTCTTCTCATCCTTCTCCTTCTCCTCATCCTTCTCCTTCTCCTTCTTCTCATCCTTCTCCTTCTTCTCATCCTTCTCCTTCTCCTTCTTCTCATCCTTCTCTCCTTCTCCTTCTTCTCATCCTTCTCCTTCTTCTCATCCTTCATCCTCCTCTCCTTCTTCTCATCCTTCTTCTTCATCCTTCTCCTTCTCCTTCTTCTCATCCTTCTCCTTCTCCTTCTTCTCATCCTTCTCCTTCTTCTCATCCTTCTCCTTCTCCTTCTTCTCATCCTTCTCCTTCTCCTTCTCATCCTTCTCCTTCTCCTTCTTCTCATCCTTCTCCTTCTTCTCATCCTTCTCCTTCTCCTTCTTCTCATCCTTCTCCTTCTCCTTCTTCTCATCCTTCTCCTTCTCCTTCTTCTCATCCTTCTCCTTCTCCTTCTCCTTCTTCTCATCCTTCTCCTTCTTCTCATCCTTCTCCTTCTCCTTCTTCTCATCCTTCTCCTTCTTCTCATCCTTCTCCTTCTCCTTCTCCTTCCTCATCTCCAAGGGCATTTAAATTAAAGGTACAGTGTTCTGCACTAATTTAAAGGCTCTCTGAAGCCTAGAAACCCTTTTTATAAGTCATCTTCGTAGCGAAGAAATTCGCATTGAATCGAATTTCATACTGGAATTCGCCGAATCAGCCGAATCGAATTTTTCATTTCTTCGCTCATCTCTACTCACAAACAACAATAAAGTCAAGGCACATCATAGAAGAACAGCTGGGTCAACACCGCGCTGAGTAACAGTCCGCAATGGGGAGTGTAGACATCCAATAGGCTGACGCGTATCGAGGACTTGCCTCTTCCTCAGAGCCCTATTGGATGTCTACACTCCCCATTGCGGACTATTACTCAGCGTGGTGAGTACAACACCTATTTTATTTCTTGTTCAGTTCCACAGTCTAATGCAATTCTTAGGTTTGAAAAATCCAGGGCTGTTGTGACCAAAAATATTGAATCTTTCCGAATAGTTTTGATATATGAATTTCGAATCTACCCAAAATATATAGCAATCTCCTGAAAAACCTCAGTAATACGGATTAAATTACTTCAGCTCCACTCTCTGCATAAATATGCTGCAAATAAAGGGTGTTGTGGTGATGCCCCCATGAGAGGTCAGGGTCAGGACACCCTTCATTCATAGCATGTCCTGTGTCTTCCACTGGGCATTGTTCATGCATCTTGTGGAAAAAAGGTACTGCAGGCCAAAATTTTGTTTTGAAGGTAAATATTGAAGGTTGGGTTACTTTTTAAATTTTTTTAACTGGCTGCGGGCCCTTATTTAGAAAAAATGTCCCATGGTTTGGATCCTAAAGAGATAAAAGATGGGGAAGTGTGAAAGTATTATAGAGATGTGCTGCATATAGAAATATTTCTTATTTTGCCCTTACTTACACTTTAAAAGGCCATGCCTGTGATATTATCCAGTGAGCATATATAACATGGTGGGTTTCTCTTGTCTCCACCAGTTGTAAAATATTTTCGTCATCATCAGACTGGATGGAGCTCATGGGAGAAGACACTTGAGGCTATAAACATGGAAAAAGATATCTATATATCGTATAAAAGGCATGGGTTTCCCCTCGAGAGCTTTGAGTTCTACTACTTCATGGAGGACATGTACACGAGCCGCCAGATTGACAGACAAGGAGGAGGAAAGGACACCATCCTTGTCATTACCATGGGACAACACTTCCGACAGTTCCCTCTGAAAATTTTTATCAGACGGGCACTTAATATCCGCAGAGCTGTGGAACGCCTTTTCCTCCGGAGCCCAGAAACCAAGGTTATCATCAAAACGGAAAACACCAGAGAAAGAAATGCTGCGCCAGAAAGAACTGGAGATTTTAATGGTTATTCTCAATACCTGGTGCTTAAAGAGGTTTTCCAAGGGGTCAATGTGGGCTTCGTGGATGCCTGGGACATGACGGTTGCTTCAGCCACAGAGTCTGTTCATCCTTCGGGGTATACGTTTGAAAGTATTATGAGCCTGACATTCAGTTTTGCTTGTTCATGAATGGTTTCACAAGTAGAGACTGAGAGCCATCAAATATGGAGGAGTGGAAACCGTTTTATTTTGTTAGAAATAAAAAAGAAGGGGATATGTGTCCATTGACACATTAACATAGTCGTGTTTGTCACAATAGTTTTTATTGGTTTTTAAGGGGACAACAACAGTCACGCCCAAATAGAGGCTAAAGCATCTGATAGAGATACCAGACAATGAAGATAAAGCAATCAAATATTTGCAGCAGTAAACTTTCAGGGCCTATCACCAAGTGTTGCTTGAGGGCCTTTTTATGGACCTATAGTCACAGGTTGGAAGTCTATACCGCTTTTTAGGCATATCGGTCCAGGCAAGAAAAAGCACTGGGAAGGGAGAAGGATAGGAAAGAGAAGGATATAGTGAAAACTAGTATAAGAGGGGAACAGTATAAACTCAGGAACTCCAAGAGGGATTAATGAAGAAGATCATAGGGTAAGAGTTGAGGAAAGGGGTTTGAGACTCGTAAGTGGGTGGATTATGGAAAATGGGATATGTAGAGGTGTCAAAAGGTCACCTTTGAACAGTCTGGAGGTATACCATCTGAATAAATAAAGTCTTCAGTGGTTTGGGGTGTCTTGATTTTAATTAAGGGCAACTAGATCTTAAAATAAGGATTGGGTTTACAAATAGGGAAATACAGGCATTTGGGGGCAAAAAGGGAAAAAGGTGATGAGAAAGAATAGGGTCTTTTTTAGTCTAACACACATCCATTTTCGAGGGGGGAGGAAGGGGGGAGGAAGTGGGGAGAAAGGGGGGAGAAAGTGAATGCAGGGTCCAGGGAGAGCGGATATAGTGAATACGGGGTCCAGGGAGACCAGATATAGTGAATGCAGGCTCTGGGGAGACCGGATATAATGAATGCAGGGTCTGGGGAGACCAGATATAGTGAATGCAGGGTTCAGGGAGACCAGATATAGTGAATGCAGGGTCCAGGGAGACCGGATATAGTGAATGCAGGGTTCGGGGAGAGCGGATATAGTGAATGCAGGGTCCAGGGAGACCAGATATAGTGAATGCAGGGTCTGGGGAGACCATATATAATGAATACAGGGTCCGGGAGACCGGATATAGTGAATGCAGGGTCCGGGGAGACCGGATATAGTGAATGCAGGGTCCGGGGAGACCGGATATAGTGAATGCCGGGTCCGTGGAGACCAGATATAGTGATTTCGGGGTCCGGGGAGACCAGATATAGTGAATGCAGGGTCCGGGGAGACCAGATATAGTGATTGCGGGGTCCGGGGAGACCGGATATAGTGAATGCAGGGTCCAGGGAGGCCAGATATAGTGAATGCAGGGTCCAGGGAGACCGGATATAGTGAATACGGGGTCTGGGGAGACCGGATATAGTGAATGCAGGGTCCGGGGAGACCAGATATAGTGATTGCGGGGTCCGGGGAGACCGGATATAGTGAATGCAGGGTCCAGGGAGGCCAGATATAGTGAATGCAGGGTCCGGGGAGACCGGATATAGTGAATACGGGGTCTGGGGAGACCGGATATAGTGAATGCAGGGTTCAGGGAGAGCAGATATAGTGAATGCAGGGTCCGGGGAGACCAGATATAGTGAATGCAGGGTCCGGGGAGACCAGATATAGTGATTGCGGGGTCCGGGGAGACCAGATATAGTGAATGCAGGGTCCGGGTTTACTAACATTTTAAGTGGTTAAATGAGGGGGGGGGGGGGGGGGGGACCATATATATGGGGGGGGGGGAAGGGGGGTGGGGGGGTTTACTAACATTTTAATGGTTAAAGATGAATTTCACCCCAATTTCTTCATTATTTTTAGTTCCCTCCTAAGCCAGCTATAGATGGTTCAGCAGGGACTGGCTGAGATTTGAACCTTCCATGGGCAGACTGGTTGTACTGAAGTTGATCCATCGATCGACTTCAGTACAACTAGAATGTCAGATTTATACATGCGATTAATGCCAACGGCTATTGTTGCTAGCAATAATCACTGAGTTCTCCAAGCAGGGACGGCTCCACCCCGCCGGGAGAAAACAATAGCAATAACAATCCCTCTCAGGGAGGGAATCTCACCATCAACACTGACTGTGTAATGGGGAAATTGAGTGATTTGCTTTCCAGCACCCGTGGTTGCAGGAAAGAAAATTGCATCATCTATGGCCTCAAATAAATTAGTCCAAAAAAAGAATCTTCCCTCTTTCAACAAATTTTCCACCTATATTAAAACACCAAGACCTCCCCCATAACAGTGATAATTATATATGCAAACTGACAAAAATCATAAAGTCCAGTGTCTCGGTAGTCAATAAATCAAAAGTGTAGAACTTGAAAAATTTTCTTGCAATGTTGATTGTGTCCAATGACTTTTTGTGAGAAACCTCAAAAATAAAGAAACTCAAAAAAGTGCATTAACATAACACAAACAGAAAAAAAAAAAAAAAAAAAAATTTTTTTATATATATATGTATATTAGAGATGAGCGAATCGAACCAGGCGAACCGGAATTCGAGTCGAATTTCAGGAAATATTCGATTCGCGTTGAATCCGAAATTTTGCCTACTTCGGGTGCGCGAATCGAATATTTCCCGATCAGCCGGCAAAAGTGTCCCGCAGTGAGCTCCGCTATTTCTGACAGTTCTCTGACAGAAGGAACACATGTACAGCGGTTGAAACATTGTATCTATTAGTTTCCATTTAGGATACAGATGTTTCAACCGCTGTACATGTGAAGAAGCTGTGAGAGAACTGTCAGAAATAGAGGAGCTCTGCACATACACTTTTTGCCGGCTTGGAATTAATCTTATTTTCATCCTACTTCTTCTTCTTCTTCTTCATCCTCATCCTCAGAAGAAGAAGAAGAGGATGAGGATGAGGAAGAAGAAGAAGTAGGATGAAAATAAGAATAATTCCAAGCCGGCAAAAAGTGTATGTGCAGAGCTCCTCTATTCTGCAGATACACTTAGAGGAGCTCTGCTGATACACTTAGAGGAGCTCTGCACATACACTTTTTGCCAGCTTGGAATTAATCTTATTTTCATCCTACTTCTTCTGCTTCATCCTCATCCTCAGAAAGTAGGATGAAAATAAGAATAATTCCAAGCCGGCAAAAAGTGTATGTGCAGAGTTCCTCTATTCTGCAGATACACTTAGAGGAGCTCTGCTGATACACTTAGAGGAGCTCTGCAGATACACTTTTTGCCGGCTTGGAATTAATCTTATTTTGCATCCTACTTTCTTCTTCTCTCTCTTCTTCATCCTCAGAAGAAGAAGAAGAGGATGAGGATGAGGAAGAAGAAGAAGAAGAAGAAGTAGGATGAAAATAAGATTAATTCCAAGCCGGCAAAAAGTGTATGTGCAGAGTTCCTCTATTCTGCAGATACACTTAGAGGAGCACTGCATTACACTTAGAGGAGCTCTGCACATACACTTTTTGCCAGCTTGGAATTAATCTTATTTTCGATGAAGAAGAAGTAGGATGAAAATAAGATTAATTCCAAGCCGGCAAAAAGTGTATGTGCAGAGTTCCTCTAAGTGTATCTGCAGAATGTCATTTATGGAAACAAATAGATACAATGTTTCAACCGCTGTATGGAGTGAATGTCCCAGAACTGTCAGAAATAGATCATTTATGACAGTTCTGGGACATTCCCTCCATACAGCGGTTGAAACATTGTATCTATTTGTTTCCATAAATGGATCCATTTATGGAAACAAATAGATACAATGTTTCAACCGCTGTATGGAGGGAATGTCCCAGAACTGTCAGAAATAGACTATTTATGACAGTTCTGGGACATTCCCTCCATACAGCGGTTGAAACCGCTGTATGGAGTGAATGTCACAGAACTGTCAGAAATAGACAGAAACTGTCACAGAACTGTCCTTCTTCTCATCCTTCTCCTTCTTCTCATCCTTCTTCTCATCTTCATCCTTCTTCTCATCCTTCTCCTTCTTCTCATCCTTCTCCTTCTTCTCATCCTTCTCCTTCTCCTTCTTCTCATCCTTCTCCTTCTTCTCATCCTTCTTCTCATCCTTCTCCTTCTTCTCATCCTTCTTCTCATCCTTCTCCTTCTTCTCATCCTTCTTCTCATCCTTCTTCTCATCCTTCTCCTTCTTCTCATCCTTCTCCTTCTCCTTCTCCTCATCCTTCTCCTTCTTCTCATCCTTCTCCTTCTCCTTCTTCTCATCCTTCTCCTTCTCCTTCTTCTCATCCTTCTCCTTCTCCTCCTTCTCCTTCTTCTCATCCTTCTCCTTCTTCTCATCCTTCTTCTCATCCTTCTCCTTCTCCTTCTCATCCTTCTCCTTCTCCTTCTCCTTCTCCTTCCTCATCTCCAAGGGCATTTAAATTAAAGGTACAGTGTTCTGCACTAATTTAAAGGCTCTCTGAAGCCTAGAAACCCTTTTAATAAGTTAACTTCGTAGCGAATTAATTCGCATCGAATCGAATTTCATACTGGAATTCGCCGAATCAGCCGAATCGAATTTTTGAAAAATTCGCTCATCTCTAATGTATATATATATATATATATACACATACATGCACACACATATGTATATCAAAAAGAATGTGCAACACTAAGTGAAACAAAAACCAGTGAAACACTTGTGAAACATTCCGAAAAAAATTAATAACACTCGTGCTCAAGAAAATATATAATCCTGAAGTGATACACTCAGTGAGAATCCTACCCACACGTGACACTTCTAGTGAGTAAGGCAAATATACCCTTACCAACAGTAGGAAAACCAGCGCCTTTATAATACAACTTGTAGAAATCCTCCAAAGGAACTTTCTCCTCCTCTCCTCCTTCACTTGTTACTAGAGTAATACTGTAATACCATCCTCAATCACAAGCCTTGATCACAGATTTACCAGGCTCCAATGTAATGGAAATTAACCATGATGTGACTCCGTATATATTCAAGATAGTACCATTTTAATGAATCTGCTTACATTTAAAGTTGATTAAAAATGTGATTTGGAACAAAACCCCACTTTCTGGGGATTATCAGGCAGTTCCCACATGAGGTGTACAGTGATTCCCCCAACAAATATGGCCGCTGTGACACTTCCGGTTCCTGCTTCTTGCGTTTGACGTCACTTCCACTTGACGCGTTTCGTCATATCCGGGACTTAGTCATAAGAGATAAGCAATCCCAGAGAATCCAGTGTTTTCTGATGTACCCCGGGTCCCACCATCTTCCTTTGGTACATCATCAGGAGCCAACTGTCTCTTCTGGGTTCTTGCATTGCAGAGAGCTATGGACGCCGGTGGAGCCCGCTGCCTGATCAGGAGGGAAGGAATATACAGACACAGTGTACTTGAGCCATAACACAGAAGTTGATGAGAAGCCACACACCAAATCTACATTACCCTTTGACAGGAGGGACTGTGTTGCCTGTAAGTATCACAGATCTAGTGACATTACCAGTGCTTCAAGGGACCAGTGTCAGTGCCTGCGTCAGTTCTTGAAGGGACAGTAACGGGGGGGGGTGCTTTGACATAAGAGTTGGGGCCCCCAACGTGATGGTCAGCACAAGAAATGGAGTAATACATATTGACTGCTGAACTGTTGTACTTCCTCTAGTTAGTATTGCCTGGTACAGTGTTGAGATGGGATTGTGCTTTATAGCAGGGGTCTCCAAACTTTCTAAGAAAAGGGCTTATTTACTGTCCTTCTGGCTTTAGGGGGGCAAGACTGTGGCCAGTGGAAGCAGAAAATGCCCCGGCATCAGTGCCCCATCATTGGTTTAATGGGCGGAATAGTGCCCCGTTGTTGATATGATTGACAAGAATAGTGATCCATTGATGATATCAGTAAGAAGAATAGTGCCCCATTGATGGTGTCAGTAAGGGGAATGGTGCTCAATCATTGATAACAGTTGGTGGAATAGTGCACCAAGGGCCAGATAAAGGCAAGCAAAGGGCCACATCCGACCCCGGGCCGCAGTTTGGAGACCACTGCTTTATACCAATTATTGTACGTCTTCTACTGTTCATCCATTTTGAAGTACATTTCTTACTTCTGCAGAACCATTTGTTGTGTCAATACCTTAAGCCAGTGGTTTCCAAACTGCAATCCGAGGGCCAGATGTGGACCTTTGCTAGCCTTCATCTTTATTACCTCCCAGTGATATAAGGCACTCTTCTTCCAACTGACACAAACAGTGGGGCATAATTCCTGCAACTAACACTAATGACGGGGAACTATTCCTTCCACTGACACCAATGATGGGGCACTATTCCTTCCACTGACACCAATGATGGGGCACTATTCCTCTGACTAACACCAATGATGGGGCAACATTCCTCTCACCGACACCAATGATGGGGCACTATTCCCCTCACCGACACCAATGATGGGGCACTATTCCCCTCACCGACACCAATGATGGGGC